ATTTTATTTGAAAAAAAAATAAAAATTTCAATTACTAAAGCATTAATCTAGAGGGAGGTTTTCGAAGCTAGCCTAAAAGCCGACAACACAAATAAAACACAAACTAAAAAAATAAAAAGCTACAATACTCTCACGAGTAGAGACTACAATCTCCATAATAGAGAACAAAAAAATTACCTTTGAATCATCCTAAGTAAATGAAAAAAAAAAAGAAGAAAAAGTTACCTTTGAATCATACTAAGTAAATAAAAGAACTAATGCATCTATAATATATATATATATACACATTATATTCTTATTTAGTTATTAATTGTTTTATTTTTCATTAGAGATTCATTTTTCATATATTTTTGTTTGAGTTGTGAAATGTAATTTCATTCATGTTATATTAGGACACTATTATATCATTTTTGAAAAATAAAAAATATACACAAGAAGTTCGTTTGTTCTACATTTTATTTTGTTCATACAATGATATGTTTAAAGGCATCCACAATGGTTCATTAAATCCATCCATTTAAATGCATAGTTAATGTTCAACCGATGGGAGTCCATTCATTTGATGGTGAAAATTAGTTGGTCCACTACTGCCGTTCAGCACATTGAACGGCTATTTGCAACATTTTTTATTCTTTTTTTTTTTGTTTTTCTCTTCAACAGCTATTTCCAAACCTTTTTTTAATTCTTTTTTTCCTTTTTCTTTTTTTCTTTTTCAACAGCTCTATCCAAGTCTTTTTTTATTCTTTTTTGTTTACTTTTGATTAAATTGTTAGTCTTTTTTATATTCTATCCGTTGAGTTTCTTTTTTTATACTTTCTATCATCATTTTTGTCTATAAATATATCTCATTCTTACATTTCTTCTACACCAAAAATTTAGCAATTTTCATTTCTGAAAAGAAAAAATAGATCCCAATAATAGGCAAAACTTTCAAAATTTCTCAAGTTCTAATACTAACAATCCTGATGAATTTCCATTATTCCAAAATTCACAAACTCCGCCAAATTTATCATTTTTACAAGCTCCTTATCCAACACAATTTTTTCCATAATTCCCATCAAAATTGTCTTTTATGCAACAATCCCAAAATTATCCAATGTCTGGCAATATTCAATACTCACAATATCCTCCACAAGCTCTATTTTAAAATCCACCACCTGAATATTGGCAGTACATAAGTAGTCAAAATCTGGTGCAATCTTCTCCGCAACAATCGAGTCAATCTTCCGGATCTCAAATGAGGAAAGAACTCAATACTCAAACTTATGTTCCGGAAACACAATTGCAGGATCGTGAAGCAGCTATAAATGTTGAAATGCCAAGAAACACATGTGTTGCTGCTGAGGGCCGGAAAAAACGTCCACAATGGACAACGAAAGAGGACGTGCTATTGGAAAAAGCTTATGTGACAATAAGTGACGACTCTATTACCGGTAATGATCAGAAGGCCGAAGCGTTTGTTGTGTACAAATTATTCTTTTTACCGAGTACCGAATCGAAAGATTCGTTCCCTGGGTCGATCTCACGAGGAAGGCGATTCGGAACTTAGCTTTGGCATTGATAACACATAAAAAAAAAAAAATAAATCCTAAACACTCTAATCAAATAAAGATTGGATGAATTATAAGCTACGAAATAAATAACAATGCAAAAATGTAAATTTATCTAAGAATATGAATGAAACGAAGATAGAAAAGCTAGGGAATCGGGGATAATTAATTCAAGTTTTAGCAAATTCGGGCTATCAATTATTCAGTTCGAAATTGACACTCTCGCTTATGCATCTAGCGGTTCGCTCCCAATAACTCTTCGTAATAAGGGATTGAACATAGACGAACAAGTTCGAGCATATAGTACAAGCCAATTATTCCAATCCCAATAACTTTTCGTAACAAGGGACGGTCATCGACAAGCACATATTTCAATCTAAAACACATAGATTATTCAATTACGAAGTCATCTACCTCATGTGAGCCTAGGTCTACGACTTTTCCCTTTTCAGTTCTAAAAGTCGATAATTCAATTAGAAGAGTATTAATCGACTAATCACGTAGAATCAACAAACCCTAACTCGACTACTCAACATTCAATTGTTACCAATTGCAAGATCGAAGTGTCACCCTTCGATTATATCAATCAGTCAAGCAGGATTACATCAATTCTTAATCAAATTAACCCACACAAGAATGAACAATTCAAGCCCGAGAGATACGAATTAAACAAGAACAATCATCTCCTATCCCTAGCAATTGGAATTAGCTATTCATAACAAATCCAACACAAACAAGCATTTTTCCCAAATCAATCATTATTCATGAATTAAATATGAGAGAAATACTTACAATAAATCCCAATTCAAGTGTCGAATCTGAAGTACAAGCTTATTCCAATAAGTTGATGAAGAGAAAGAAAAGAAAAAAAAAAAATGAAAAGTAAAGAAGAAAATAAAGAAGGAAAGATGAAGAAAAGAGAAGGAATGAGAAGGAGATTTTTGTGCTTTCTACGGGCTAGGGTTCATCTCCCAGAAGGGGAGAGAATCATCCCCCTATCGTCTAAGAAATCTGCTATTTAAAAAACTGTTTTTCGCGTCCTCCGCGGCCGCGGAGCTTCTCGCTGGCCACGGTGAACAACAGCTCCGCGGCCGCGACTATTCCCGAGGCCGCGACATTTTTCCGCAGAAGGTTGGGCGCTGGCAGTTTTTTGTTCGCCGCGGCCGCTGTGAAGAAATGGGTCGCGGCCGCGGCGAAGAAAACTGGGCTGCACTGCACGACTTTACCATTTTTGCTCGTTCGGGTTCGTTTGAACTCAGAATTGAGTTCCGTTTTTTTCTACGCGTCGCTAACGAACCCCTCTATCTAACTATGCAAACCCATCAAATATTTTCTTGAAAACCTTTCCTCCCAAAGCTTATGACATGCACACAAAAAACGTGATTTGCGCGACTTTGCTGTTTGAGCCCGTTCGGGCTCGTCCGAGCTCGAAATTGAGTTCCGCTTCTTCCTATATGTCGCCCACGAATCCATCTTCACAACCATGATTGCTCGATCAATTTTTGGGCTAAATCCATTCCTCATGGGGCTTCCAACCTGCACACCAAAAATAAAAGAAAACCGGAAAAACACACAAGAAACAAAAGAAATACCAAAATAGATCAAATCACGCAATAAACTACAAAAACGAATAAAACCCAACGAAAAGACTCAATATGGGGAAAAAGAAAGACAAAAAGATAATGAAAAACGCAACAAAAATGAGACAAACAGCGTTTTGGGTACGTGTTACAAAATATTATAATGAAAATACACCTTCTGGTTATATTTCTAGAGATTTGAATATGATAAGATCTCACCGGCATAATACAATTCAAAAAAAAAAGGTGTATCGGTTTAATGAGTGTTATAACAGTATTTACAGTGTGTATCGAAGTGGTTGTAGTGATGAGGATATATTAAGTCGGGCTTACGAAAAATATCGTAGTGAGAATAATGGTGTAGCCTTCAATCTTGAGCATGTGTGGAGAATCCTAAAAGATCGTCCTATGTTCACTCCACAATCTTCTAATGATATTTTTGTTGAGAGAAAAAAAACGAGAATTGATAGTCTGGTGCCAGCAACACTTTATCAAAGGGGGATGCGAGCATTGATCTAGATGAACTTCATGGAGTGGCTCGCCCAATCGGACAGAAGGCAACCAAACGAAAGGCTAATGGAAAAGGAAAATCTAACCTTGATGAGATGACTGCAGAATATAACAACATGGTTAAGCACCTTGCTGAGTTAACAAGCTTGAAAGAGACTGAAGTTGAAGTTAAAAAAGCAACACTTGAGGAAAAGAAGCAGAGGAATCGTCGAAAAGACTGTGATATTAAAACATGGGACACAAGTCACATGACCCAAGAGCAACGTATTACTCATGAGAAAATGTGTCAAGTAATTCGAGAGAAATGGAACTTTTAAACTTTGCATTATCTATTTTAATTATCCTTGTAATTCTGTACGTTGTAATTTGCAAAATTGAATTTTCATCTTATATTTCATTTAAGTTTTGCAAAATTAAAACTATGTAAACTCACATATTTTATTCAAAGCAAACTCACAATATTAAAGCAAACTGACATATTTCGTAGTCAAAAGAAGGAAGCTTCCTCACAATTTCCTAGTCAAAGGAAGAGAACTTCCGTACAACTTCTTGGTCAATGAAAGGAAACTTCCTCGTAAGTTCCTAGTCAAAGGAAGAGAGCTTCCTCATAAGTTCCTGGTCAAATGAAGGGAGCTTCCTCGCAACTTCATCAAAAGAAGCATTTGTTTGACTATAAATACCTCATTTTGTATTCCATTTTGTATCCCATTCCAAGTGAAAGAAAAAGAAGAATCCTCACAAAATGTCTCAAAATTCATATAAATCCGAGTCTAATTCATCATCATCCACCGATAGTGAAGATGGTGAAAACACTAAAGATTTAGAAGTTGAAATGATTTCATCAATTGTTCAACGAAGCCACGAGTTGCTTCAAGCATACCAACATGAAATTGAAGTTCGTAGAAGAAGAAGGTTCATCCAGAGAAATCGAGAAGATGGACATAACAAACTTGTAAGTGATTATTTTTTTGATCATCCTGTCTACCTGGATCATATATTTCGTAGGCGTTTCCGTATGCGAAGAGAATTATTCCTTCGAATTGTGAATGCACTTCAGACACAATCATCATATTTCCAGCAAAACTTTGATGCATCAGGAAGACAAAGTTTGTCACCACTTCAAAAATGCACAGCAGCCATTCGTCAGTTGGCTTATGGAGTCCCAACTGACCACCTTGATGAGTATTTACGTATGGGTGAGTCAACTGCTATCAAATGTCTTTTTAAATTTTGTGAAAGTGTGGTTCAAATTTTCGGTGAGGAATATTTGAGAAGACCAAACAGTAGCGATGTTCAAAGACTC